GGGATTTAGCTCAGTGGTTTCGCTGCCTGCTGCACAAGGACCTGAGTTCAATCCCCGGTACCAAAAAAAAAAAAAAAAAGATAGATGATGAGTATCAATGTATGACTTAGGAAAATGAGACTGTAAACAAATTGAGGCATGCTTATTAATACTTACTTTTTACTAATTTGTATTGAACTCATGACCAAATTGATGTATGTTTCCCCACCAAAAAGATTATTTTTAAGTCAGTTGAGGTAAAAATAATTTGGGGGATTTTAAATATTTGGTGGGTCAGAACCGAGTATTGCCATTTTTTCACTGTTATAAAGTAAAATCTCTTGACAGAATCTCTATTCTGGAGAGATCTACAAGCAAGCTTCTATTGAAATTGAATGGAAAAATATAGGTCCTTTTTTCTCAGTTTCTCAGAAAGATCTGTAGCTTAAGTCACCACTCTAAATGCAAACACAAAACATTTACTTTTTCTAAAATATAGTATAGAAGTAAAATATAGGAAATCTAAGTTGAAATGACAAACTATGAATTATGGTGAGATTTAAATAAAAACTGACAAATATTCACAATATATGAAAACATTTAGTAGAATGTTAGCCGCACCTATCTCTTTGAATAATTTTGTTTAATTGACTTTTGAAAAATTATAAATTTTTATACTTAGGTTAATTTTTCTTTTCATCTTCAGGTTATTTCTAATAACATTTTCTGATGACTCAGAATAAGATGAACATGGATTATTTCATCAGTAAATTCTGATGATATAAATTCCTAGGTACAATAGAAGTATAAAAAAGAAATATACTTCCATATTGGTTGACTTTTGTGGTAGATCTTAGTTATTTTATTAAATGAAGCTAAGTACTTTACCATGACCGTGTAGGAAAAAATATATTATTGATTTTATACAAATATATTCAAATTTTTAATGAGGATCCTTCCTTTTCTCACCAAATTGCAGAAAGGATAACAATGTGGGTCCTGTTTTCAACAATGTTTTTATTTTTTAATGTAACTTTTAACAGTTTCATTACACTCTTTAGTAGATACCTTGAAAAAAGTAATGACTTCTTACTTTAGTAATGGAGAGTACATCTCTACCTGTACAGTCTACGCCTGAACTCAATATTACTCTATTTCCTTAACTGTAGAGGTGAAAACTCAGGAAACCCTCAGGCCTGTGGATCTTTAACAAAGATGCATTACAAATTTTTTTAAAAAGCGTGTTATATTTGAGTGACGATCCCTGCAGCCTATGGCAGATATAAGACTTAGTGCAGAGGAGGCGCTCAGTAGTGGGTAAATTTATTTTTATTTTTATTTTTATTACTATTTTTTTTGGTACCAGGGATCGAACTCAGGTCTTTGTGCTTGTGTAGCAGGCAGTGAAACCACTGAGCTAAATCCCTGGCCCAGTAGTGGGTAAATTGAATTGAAGCAAGACTTCTTTGGTTGCTTAGACTGTGATAGACTAAAAATAACTGCTAAAAGAAGGTCATGTATTGACTCATTTATTTCAGAATCTTTGGGTTTTGTCACTTCTCAAATGAAAAAATAAAAAGTTAATTTTTGCTTGAGATTAACCCAGATATTAACATCAAGATAAAGCCCTTTTACTAGTTTCCTTTTTAAGTATCTCACGATACAGTATTTTTCTTTTTGTTTTTAGCATGTTAGGTAAGGGGAAGGAGAACGATGGGAAACTTCTTCTAAGGGGGAAAAAAGGTTTAATGTTAGTATTTTCTGCCTAGTCCAGCTTCCTACTTCAGAGTAAAATTTTAGATTGTTTCAGAGATGTAAGTTTTATCTCTTTTATTATTTAACGATGGAGATTGCAGTTTTTATTACTTGCCTGAAACAAGGGATACAGACTTAGTTTTTCTTTTTCTTTACAAAGATTTTTTTTTAATAAGAGCACGATTAAAAATATGGAGTTCCTTGGTTAGCAAGACTCAAAAAAAGATTGAAAAAGTTTCTTGTATGCCTTTTACTTTTGCTTTAATTGATATTTTTTGTAAGGACTATTGCATGAGGATATCTGGTACACATTAAATCTTGTTTATTGGGTAGAATTTTAAAATTAAGAATTAAAGGTTGAATTTATAATCTATAAGGATCAAATATGGTAAAGCCAAACAAATAGGTCTATATATATAGGAAGTATATACTTGAGAGGTTTATTCTGTGTTTTAATTTTGATTTCCAAATAATTGTTTCCATGTTAAATTTTGAAAAAAAAAAAAAACGCACCTCTTTGGACTACTATATTTTAATGATTATAGAGTTCAAAGATTGTTTCCAAGAGGGGCCAGGGATTTAGCTCAGTGGTTTCACTGCTTGCTGCACAAGCACAAGGACCCAAGTTCGATCCCCCGGTACCAAAAACAAAAAACAAAAAACAAAACAAAAAAAAGATTGTTTCCAAGTAATAAAATAGAAAAATATGTTCAAATTTTGTTGCAAATAAAGATCTTCACTTGCCTGTGTAACAGTTAATGCTCTTTCTTAAAATAAGTTTTGTATTTTCTGTAGTGCAGGCTTTGTGACTTTTAATGATTATTTAATCCCTAAATATTAGGAGGACTATTTGGAGCTAACCCTTTGATTTAGTGCTTGGTCCTGGACATTTTGACAAGTGCAGCCTTTAGAGAGAGAGTTCCTCAAACTGTAATTTCTTCCAGAGATACTGCTTGCCTCCTGCTAGCCTCTCTTCAAATGAGATTTCTGCACAGAATGAATTCTAAATTATCTTCCCCTTACATTTTTAGAAAAAATTCAAAATTTAGAAGTAGCAACTCCAGTTTTAAACTATTTTCCAGTGTGTCCACATTTTTTTTCTGGGGAGAATTAATAATGATTGAAAACAGAGTATACTGAATTTGAAATACTGACACTGATTTCTGGTATTGTCCCTGGTTCAATTTACTGTTCTCTTAATGTACAAAGAAGACATTTTAGGTAGTTTTTTTTTTTTTTCAGACGTAACTACCAATATAGGAAATACTGAACATTAACTTTAATACTACTTGATCATAGAAGCAGCTAGATAGCTGATACATAGTCCTTGAGAATTTGCAGAGTCACTTTTCTGAAACAGAAATAAACTGTTAGCATCCATAAATTTAATACTGTTTATTATGTGTAGGCACTATACCAAATCTGTCCTTTATAAACATTACTGTATTTATTGCTCACACTAATCCTGTATCTAGAGACCCTGAAAGGTTATATTCAAATGCACTGTCTTTCAGCAAGTCGTACTGTCCAGTTGAATGAATTTCACTTAATAAAATTTTACCTTTGTGGGCAAAAGTAGTCGCTCCTAAAAATTTTAGAATTGGTATGTTTTGGCACTTCAGGGAAAAAGTTGGTACTTATGCTAAGCAAGGTGTTAAACCCTTTATATTTAATTCTCTTGAACCTGTGAGCTAGGCATTATTTCAGCTTTACCACTGAAGATAGTACAACTAAAGTTAGCTTGTATAAAGTCAAGCAGCAGAGCTGGGATTCATTGTTTGCTTTGACTTCAAATCCATATTCTTTCTGGTACATAGCCCTGTGCATGAAGTTTTTTTTCCATTTTATTTCTATAAAAATATATCCTAAGGGTAATTTTTGCTTTAAACAAATAGAGTAAAATTTTATGTTGATTTGTAGAAAAAGATTTTGGGGGAAAGTAAAAAGCACTTGAACACTAGAAAATGAGAAAATGTGCTTAAGAGAATATAGGTCATAAAACATTGGTTAAACGCATTAGTGTATTTACGTTACTTTCATATAGGAAATTATAGGAAATCTGATTTCTCTCCAATGTGTGGTTTTTTCCATCTTCCACCTTCTTTTCTGTGAGAGAAAATGTTAAGTGACATTACAGGAGTATTTTTACGATACATAATATATATGTGAAATTCCTTGAGAATTTAAGACTCAGTCAGATAATTTTTATTAATTATGCAACTATTGCTGTTGAGGATCTAAGGAGTAAACCGAAACCAATTTCATGATGTTTCTAGCATAGTCATTTTTATTATCTGCAGAGTCATTACCTATGTTGCAGTTTATCCTAATTTCAATTTGACAATATCTACATATTCATTTAAATTACTTGCTGAGTTGGTGAGTTTTTGTTTTCATTAATTTTTTTTTTTTTACAATTAACAATGCCCTACTTATAAAAAAAATTCAGTGTTTTCGTTTTGCCTGCAGGTCTGTATCTAGCAGGAAACCCTTAGGAGACCTAATTTCCAGAGGTTTGAAAATGGGGATCACAGCTTAGAATAGTGCTTGGTATCCCTCAAAAAAAGGGGCTGTTCATTTCCAGCAGGCCCACGACCTGAATGGGGCTGAGAGCACAGAAACACGACCATCCCTGCTTCAAAGTTACATTTTTTGGTTGTGTAAAATTAATGTATTTAGTAGCTCTGATTTGATAAAGCGTTAATGCCTTTTGTATTACATGTACTTCACCTAATTTCTCCTACCCCCTGGTTGATTTTCTGTCACCTTAATCCACATTAGTATGAATAATTGAAGCATTGATGACACCACATTTCTCAGCCTAAAGTTTTCTGATGAGGACTAAAAACATGTCACCAAAGTTTATGTTCATGATTTCTACTTCATAGTCAGTTATTTATTCACTCAAAAGCTTTATTAAAATCTCTTCTTCTTTCACTTTGAGTCCTATTTTCCTCCAAAAATCAGACCCTCCTTCACTTTCCCTTAATTTTTATATTATATTTAGTCCAAGTGATCCTCTAATTTAGGAAACACTAATTGTCAAAATGTGAGTGTTCTACTTGTAAAAGCCAAAGTCCCTAGAATGTCTCAATTCTTTAATAAATATATGGTAGGATAGTACTATTACTAAACTTTATAAGAACAGAATTTTAAAATTAGAAAAAACTATTCATCTACAAATGGTTTTTGATTAGTTTGTCGTATAGTACACATCTGGAAGAATTGGTAATTCGTGTATTCATATATGGTGTTTTTGTCAACAGGAAGAAGGTAGATGATGACTATAATGCTCTTCAAGAAAGACTCAGTACTTTGCCTGATAAGCTGTCTTATAATATCATGGTATGTTTGTTGTGTTTTTTTTTAAGTAATATATTATTTTCTTGTAAATATGTTAACTTTTATGAAAAAGTTAATATAATTTTTATTATATTAACTAATTATTAAATGTAAAATAATACATTTTTTGTTGTTGTGTGCATTATCAGTTCACACATTGCCAAACTGATGGTTTCTATCAAAGGTAACTATCATAGCAGGAAAGTTTAGTTTTTTTATACCTTATAACAATACAATACTTGTAATAGTTGGTATCTTTTAAAAATATATAAATAATTATTGCATTATAGTAACAATTGTTAGCATGAATTAGACATTGGGTGTGCAAACTTACTACATAAAATATGTAATCACAACAGGAATATGGCACTTAATTTCCTGTAAGTCAGAGTAGGAATAAGCCATAGTGTTTTGTAATTCACAGAATTAAATTCTAGGACGTTGATTTTTATATAAAAAGGTGCTGCCAATTTTTGTTTTAATGACCTTTACTACTGACAGTGATCTGTTTGTGAGCCCTGGATTAGAATCTTTCATTGCATGAGCATTTTTTCTCACAAAGACTAGGTTCATATTATACTAGCCCAAATATTTTGTAAATATAGGTGGACTCATGAAAGTTGTTTATTAATTCTTACTTTGTAAAGAATAGGCATTTTATTAGAAATAATTTTCAGTTGTCTTTACGAGAAAGTATTTTCCATTGATTGTTTCATTAACTATTTTGGTTTCGTTTAGATTTAAGAATTAATGAAAAGCATAAACCTTCAGAGGCAGTACTACTTTCTCTGAGAGCTGTGTATAAATATGGTACAGGTTTATTTTTGTATTTTAACATTGATTTATTAATCTTAAGCAATTTTCTATAGATTTTAATGTATTAAATTCCTACAGGGTTGGCATTTTTTTGCAGTGTATAAAAGAACTCAGTAATAATGTAGGACTTTTTAATGTTAAGAGTTTCATAAAAGGTATTTTTTAGTGTTTGAAATGTTTTGTTCTTTTTTTCTTTTAACAATAGGTACCATTTGGCCCCTTTGCCTTCATGCCAGGAAAACTTGTCCATACCAATGAAGTGACTGTTTTACTTGGGGACAACTGGTTTGCAAAGTGCTCCGCAAAGCAGGCTGTAGGTTTAGTTGAGCACCGGAAGGAACGTAGGTACCACTTAGGAATGATGTTTCTTTGTTGTATGTATTGGCTCACAAAATGCAAAACTGATGAACTGTTTGTTACCAGAAATACCTGCCATGATTTGTTAGTTATTTGTAATTCTGTTGAATTCTAATAAATTGGAGTAGAACCAACATCTGAGAATGAGCTATATAGAATAGAAAATCTGGATTTGAAATATCACCCACATTGGCATTTTTTCAGAAATTAGCAAGTGTAAAAGTGATATGGGGGCGGGGATATGTAACTCCCAACCTGCTAGATGTCAGATACACCAGCTTTATGTTCCCCAAAATCAAAGCGTGAATTCTAAGGAACAATGTAAGATAAGAGTAGGAAAAATTTATTGAGAACGGTAGCTCCTGAGAGACAGGAGGGGATCTGAAAATGGGTTGCCACAGACCCCACTTTTCAGAGAAAGTTTTATAGAGCAAAATTATGAGGTGGGTACAATGTGGGTCAGAACTATGATCAACCAATAAGATTATGAGTATAGCCGTGTAGGTAATATTGATCCAGTGGGGAAGCAGGTCATGTAGCAAGTGTACATGGTAAGAACAAAGACCTTTTTTGGAAGGGATGGATTGGGAAGTCCTGGTCACTCACCTGCCTGACTGATGGGTTTATAGACTTTATTGGACCAGGTGAGTATAATCTTCAATTTATTGCTTATTGCTCAGAGAGGCAAGTAGGTCTGGTCATTCTGCCTTTATCTTGAGGCCTGGCCTTCTAAAGATGGCATTTCCAGCCACAGTTGTAATGTTTTCTCATCTTCTGCACTGACTCCCTCAAGGGCCTAGCCCTGTCTGACTGCCTATAATATTTCTACCTAACTTAGCTGTCTATAATAAAAGTACACATGGTATATAGATAAAAGTTAGGAAGACATAAGAATTGGGAACATTTTATGGTTTATAAGTGGTTTTAGTTGCTTTCTTAGACCTTTGGTTTATAATACTTTGGTACACAAATAATTTACTTTCTGCTTAGTGAACAAAGAAAAATACCTATTTTTTTTTTTTCTTTCTTTCTTTTTTGTTTTTTTGGTACCGGGGATCCAACTCAGGACCTTGGACTTGCGAGGCAGGCAGTGGAACCACTGAACTAAATCCCTGGCCCGAAAAATATCCATTTTAAAAAGTTGACAATTCTTAAAAATGTTTTTTGTTTGGAAAGAAACCACATTTTCATTTTATAGAAGAGAACAGATTCGGAAAGATGCTATCTAAATTGACACGTTTATGCTTTTTAAGTATTCTCTGGCTCATTTTAAGGTAGCTTTGGTTTGATTTATCCATGGTACTATGATGTCTGTCTCTGCCTCTCTCTATCACTCACACACACACACACACACACACACACACACACACACACACTTTGCAGTTGGATGGGTTAGTTTGGGTTCTAGTATTTTAGAATTTCGTTTATTTAACTTCTAATCTGTGTTCTTACGTTGCCAATAACATACTTAAATTGATAGTGTGGCATTGTCCCTACCTGCTTTTCAACCTTTTAAATAAATGTGTTTTGAAATAAATTTTGACAATCTTTCTGTATAAATGAGGTCATACTAGATAGAAAACAGCTGAGTTTTCTAAAACTGAAACTATTTCACTTATACATGAGTGGGTCCTCGTTGGACTCATTTACTCTGAAATTTTAGGAACTATATTTGGAGACTTTAATTGCAAATCAGCTCCCATAAGTTTCTAATTGATATGTATTTTGATCTTTTGTGACACCAATCAGAATCTTATTGTTAGGTGATAAATCTATTGGTTTTGGTACATTCAAATAAGTCCTATATATTAGGTAGAAGACAATGAGTGTAATTCTTTCTTAGAGTTCTTTCTTAATAGAGGAAGTTTTATTCACAGGGGTAGCCCTGTTAATAAGGAATCAGTTCATAGCCTGTTGAAGTTGGCTAACTTTGATTTTCATATTTCAGTGAAGAAATCTTCAGAATCAATTACGACTTAAAATATTAACAATGAAAGACTTAATAAAATAGAATGGAGCTGTAGAGTAGAGAAAAAATTTTTGGTAGATCACTTTCCAGTAGTTAAATATGGTTTTGGGACATGACCAGCAATGATGACTTTTGGGATCTTTGTTTATCTAAAATAATTTCAAAGTATATATAAATATACCTGAGAACCTAATGTAATACACAAATTTTTAGTTGCTTTATTCATAGTTTTGTAGTAATTTATATAATATTTGATAATAGCTAAAGAAAACATTTTGGTATATTGTATTTAACATTTATTAAGAAAGCCACAATTTTGGGATACATCCCCAAACTCTCAATGGATACCTGAAACTGCATCAGTCAATGAACCTATGATTGATGCCTTTTCCCTCTTAACTCAGCACTTAGCATACATTGAAGCCATAACTTTGCAATTTGAGGTGTAACATCAAATCTGGCCTGAATTTTTGTATCTTTAAAAAGTTTTTTATTTAAATTTTTATAAATATGTAGTGATCACATCCGTCATGGGGAGTTGGTACAATCTACAATTTCATGGATAGAGGTTAGCAGCTTCAGCATACAATTTTTACCCCCTTACTTGAGAATGTTCAACTTTTTACTTAAAAGAAGCACTTTATGGCTTTTCTTTGGGATTTCCATATTGCCAGCATCATTAACTCTTCTACTTTGGGACCATTGTTAAGTAAACAAGCACTGAGGCCATTCTGTGACAGTTGATCTGATAACTAAACTGGCTACTAAGGGTTATCCAGCAGGAATATCCTGGACAAAGAGTTGATTCACTGCCTAGGAGGCATGAGTCATTATGCTTTTCAGAATGGCACACAATTTAGAATTTCTCTGTGGAGTTTTCCATTTAATATTTATTTTCCATTTTATATTGGTCCATGGGTAAGTGAAACTGTGTAAAGTGAAAGGTGAATGAGTAGGGACTGCTGTATTTTTCTTAAGGCAGAAACTTGTAACAAGTTAAACATATGGTCACCTATTTCCTTATTGACTGTGTAATTGAGGAAAGTGGAAGGAAGTCTTTGCTTGTCAAGAGAGTAGTCATTATGAGGGGCTGCATGAATTTAACAATAACAAAGAATTCAAGGAGGAAGCTGTGAGGCCAGAGAAAGATGTTTTAGGAAGACCTTAAGCCCAGTGCCCCTATCATTTGTTTTCTTATATTTCTGCCAATTAAAATATGACCATCTTTTAAAAGTTTAAAAATTTAAAAGAATTACCATATAGTGAAAGTGATTTTTTATTTTACATACTGCATTCTGCGTGTTATCACACGCACACACACACATTTTTTTGGTACTGGGGATCAAACTCGGGACCTTGTGCTTGGAAGGCAGGCTGCAAAACCGCTGAGCTAAATCCTCGGCCCCTATTTTGTTTAATCATCCATTATCAGGATATAGGCTAGGACATGGCAGCAGTCCAAACACAAAGTTATACCCAAGCTTTCCTCATGCTGCCCATTTGTAGTCAGACCCGCATCAGCTTCCAAAGGCTTGATAACCACTGATTTGTTCTCTATGCTGTTAATTTTGCTTTCACAAAATGTCATATAAGTCTGATTCTCTTCTGAGACTGGCTTTTTTCACTCACTGTAATGCCTCATCCAAATTGTTCAATGCATGAAAAATTCATTCCTTTTTTATTGCTGAGTAATATATATATATGTATTATATCATCATTTTTCTGTTTACCTGTTGAAGGAAGGACATTTGGGTTGCCTCTTTGTTCCAGTTTTGAATAGAGCCATTTGTTACTGGGTTTTGGGGTACTTGCCTCTTGGTTTCCAGGTTCTTTTTGTCTCAGGCAAAGAATTGCATGAAACAAGCAAAAACAGTGGCAAAATTTACTTGAAAAGTAAAGGGTAAGGGAGAAACTGGCTCTGCAGAGGGAACTTGGGCTGAGTAAAAGAGAAACAATTAAAAATAAAGTAAAAGTACACCCTGGCAGGCTACCATGAGGAAAGTCATGCCGTCAGTGGTGTCCTGTCTCTTTATTTAGTCCACACAGGGCAGGAACCTGCAAGAACTCCATATCCGGGCCCTTGGGAATTCTTTGGTATGTGTGTGTGTGTGTGTTCTGGAATCTGGTCACACCTATTCCCTTAACCAGCTTTGCTACACCGTGCCATCCCTCCTTGGGGCTGCTTTAAACCATTATGTACAGGTTTCTGAGTGAACATAAATTTTTATTGCTGTTGGTAAATATCTTCATGTGGGATTGCTAGGTCATATGGTAAATGTATGTTTGATATTCAAGGAATGTTTTCCAAGATACGATTGTTATACCTCTGTCAGCAGAGTATGAACCTTAAAGTAATTTTGTAGCCTTCCTAGTGCTTGGTATTGGCAGTTTGGAAAATTTTAGCTATTTGAATAGGTATATAGCACTTTTAATTTGCATTTTCCTAATGGCTAATGATGTTGAACATTGATTTATGTACTTACTTGCTGTTTATCCTTTTTTATCAGTTAAAATATTTTGCCCATTTTAAAAAATAGGTTATATATTATCTTAATGTTCAGTTTTAAGAGTTCTTTGTATATTCTGGTTAAAGTCCTTAGTTGAATATATGGTTTGCAAATATTTTTTCCCAGTATCCATCCTATCTTTTTGTTCTCTTGAAGGTGCCTTTTCAGAGTAAAAATTTTAAAATTTGAAGTGCAGTTTATTACTTTTTTCTGTTATAGATCATGTTTTTTGGGGTTACACTTAACATTTTGTTCAACCTTAGTCCTTAGAAAGATTTTCTCCTGTTTTTAAGTTCATATTTTGTATTCTTTTTATATATACTTTGTATAAAGTATGAAGATTAAATCCAGGTTCATTTTCTGTACACGTGGATGTTCAGTTGTTCCACACTATTTGTTGAAATTATAGACATACAGAAAGATAATATATGAGATCATTCACAGAATGCTTTTTTTAAATAAAAGTTTTTAGTAAGTTATATGTGGGTATGATACAAAGTTTAAAGAA